TTTTAATATAATTTATTTACATTTAACTAAAGTACATATTTTGTTCGATAACTTTTTGCCATCTTGTAAGTAGGGACATGATCCCATTGCCATAGAAATTTTGGGGCTTCTGATCAAAATACCGCGACAATTGGTTTTGGCAGTCCTCGCGTTATGTTAACCTGACACTGCCTACAAAATTCTGAAGAGACCGAAACAGGTGGAAATCTGAAGGTGCAAGGTCAGGACTATACGGCGGATGTATTAACACCTCCCAGACAAGCTCTCTTAATTTTTGCTGAGTGGCTAAAGATGTGTGAGGTCTAGCGTTATCATTATGAAAAATCACACTCCTTCTGTTGATTAATTCCGACTGCTTTCTCTCAACTTCTTGCTTTAAGAGTAGAGTTGTGAAGTTTGTGCTTGTAGAGTTCAGAATCGATGGTCTTGCCTGGTGGTAACAGCTCATAATGAATAATGCCCTTCCAATCCCGCCACACGCACAGCATCACTTTGTTGCGAGTTAACCCGGGCTTCGCCACAGTCTGTGAAGCTTGACAGTTTTCATCACCAGTTATCAGCTTCTTCAAAACTGGTTCGATTTCATTACGTCGTAATAAAGAATCACAAATGAGTACACAGTTCAGTAGGTTTCGTTCAGTGAGCTCGTGAGGTACCCAAATATCGATCTTTTTTGTGTACCCAGTTTTTTTTCAAATGCGCCAAAACTGTTTTGTGGTCAATTTCCAGTTCTTTAGCTACGTCGTAACTACCAATATGCCGATCTCGCCCCACTTTTTCAAAAATGGCATCCATTTTATCTATAATAGGGCGACCAGAGCGACGCGACGTGCATCTTTGACATCAATATTTCCGGATTGAGAACGCTTAAACCAAATTTGTGCTGCTCTCACAGACACTGCACTAGATCCATAAACATCGCCAATTTTTTTTCGCGGCTTGCGTTGCTTTTTTACCTTTTTTGTAGAATTTTTTTAAAATGTATCGAATTTCTTCATTAGATTCACTCATCTTGACAGTACGAAAAATAAATAAAAATCACACATTTTCCTAAACTGAATTTGGAATTATCTTCTTTAAAATTTAAACTTTTAATGACACCAAAACCAACCAGATACAATTAGTAGAGCCAATGAGATTTTATTACAAGTTCATACATACTATAATGCGAAAAGGATTTTTCCCCAACTTATTGTGTATAATAATGGTATAAAATACCTGGTCATTTGGCGATGAAGGCATTCAAGAAAGGTGTCGGTACGGTAAGTAAAGAAAGAGAAAAAAACAAATAGTTTCCAAACAGTGTAATAACAACTCTCCTTTCTTTCATGTATTCCTGGTAGAAATTGAAGAGAAACGACGTAACTTAAGTGTTAACGTCCAAAATTTGGACGGGGTTAATAGGTATGTATATCTGTCACTTGTTTTAACGAGTAATATAGATCTTACTCTTTCTAACAGACTTTAAACTGTACTAGAGGTCCCGCAGTAGTCGAAATTCGACTATAATTAATTGGAATTGTAAGTTTGTACACTATTATGGTTGTATTTTATACTTCTATAATCACGAATTTCGCCAAGGCTACACACTATTAAAAAATATTAATAAAGAAAAAAAAAATTTAATCTATTCTCAGTTTGACCACAGACGTCAAGATTAAAAGTTTGACAATAAATAGTATGCATGCGTGTGTGCGTCAAAAACATGCTATGTAGTGTGTGTGCTGTTTTCTTTACTGGTTTAAAGTATGTTTTATGCATTATTTAAAAAAAAATTTAGCATTGTGCACTTCTTCTCTGTATTCTCTATAAGTGTGGAAAATTTCATACTCCTCCGTCCGCGCAATTTTCGTAAAAAGGGATACAAAGTTTTTGCTTCACGTATTAATATATAGATAATTAAGAATGAACGCGACCCACTGAGAAGATCCGGCGAGAAACTCAGTGGGCTGTATCTGAGGGTTAATTTACTCGTCGAGCCCTTCGTCGCAAGCAACAGGTTCGACGAGAACGGTGACCGGTGCTTGAAGTACCTAAAAGCACCGTTAGTGGATCGGGAGGATACGAAATGACGTGTTTTGGGCGACGTCGACTGCTTTCCATTCTTTCCGCAGGATCGGGAATGTAGTTACCGGCGGCCACGATGAGAGGGTTCTCGTGTCGTGCCGCTTTATCGAAGTGGCGCATCGACGCCGACTGTAAATACTATCGCGTCTGACAGACACCAATATGTACAGCTCTATCCTAAACAAATGTCCGAAGAGAAAAGTCATTGCCAATGGCAAATTGGCGTGTCTTCTTCTTCTTTTCTTCTAGGACATCTTTATTCTAGGACATTTACAACGTAGCCACATGCTATTTACAAGGTATAATTATAAAGCAGTCGCCGAGCCAAGATTGACTGTTGAGAATCGTACAAGAACACAGCTTGTTTTTTATAAGGTTGGGGAAAAAGTTGCTTCGCATTTTTGAAGAATTTTTTTTAATATAATTTATTTACATTTAACTAAAGTATGTAGGTACCATTTTGTTCGATAACTTTTTGCCATCTTGTAGGTAGGGACATGATCCCATTGCCATAGAAATTTTGGGGCTTTTGATCAAAATACTGCGACAATTGGTTTTGGCAGTCCTATCGTGATGTTAACCTGGCACTGCCAAATGAATTCTGAAGAGACCGAAACAGGTGGAAATCTGAAGGTGCAAGGTCAGGACTATACGGCGGATGTATTAACACCTCCCAGCCAAGCTCTCTTAATTTTTGCTGAATGGCTAAAGATGTGTGAGGTCTAGCGTTATTATTATGAAAAACCACACTCCTTCTGTTGATTAATTCCGACTGCTTTCTCTCAACTTCTTGCTTTAAGAGTAGAGTTGTGAAGTTTGTGCTTGTAGAGTTCAGAATCGATGGTCTTGCTAACAGCTCATAATGAATAATGCCCTTCCAATCCCGCCACACGCACAGCATCACCTTGTTGCGAGTTAACCCGGGTTTTGCCACAGTCTGTGAAGCCTAACCGGCCTTTGACCACGACCTTTTTCGCACGTTCTTGTCGTACGTGATCCACTTTTCATCACCAGTTATCAGCTTCTTCAAAAATGGTTCGGTTTCATTACGTAATAAAGAATCACAAATGAGTACACGATTCATTAGGTTTGTTTCAGTGAGCTCGTGAGGTACCCAAATATCGAGCTTTTTTGTGTACCCAGTTTTTTTCAAATGCGCCAGAACTGTTTTATGGTCAATTTCCAGTTCTTTAGCTACGTCGTAACTACCAATATGCCGATCTTGCTCCACTTTTTCAAAAATGGCTTCCATTTTATCCGTAATAGGGCGACCAGAGCGACGTGCATCTTTGACATCAAAATTTCCGGATTGAGAACGCTTAAACATAATTTGTGCTGCTCTCACAGACACTGCACTAGATCCATAAACATCGCCAATTTTTTTCGCGGTTTACTTTGCTTTTTTACCTTTTTTTTTTGAAAAAATTTAAAATGTATCGAATTTATTCATTATATTCACTCATCTTGAGAGTACGAAAAATAATTAAAAATCACACATTTTCCTAACTTGAATTTGAAATTATCTTCTTTAAAATTTAAAAGTTTTAATGACACCGAAACCAACCAGATACAATTAATATAGCCAAAGAGATTTTATTACAAGTTCATACATACTATAATGCGAAAAGGATTTTTCCCCAACTTATTATGTATATAATGGTATAAAATACCTGGTCATTTGGCGATGAAGGCATTCAAGAAAGGTGTCGAAACGGTAAGTAAAGAGAAAAAAACAAATAGTTTGAAAACAGTGTAATAACAAATCTCCTTTCTTTCATGTATTCCTGGTAGAAATTGAAGAAAAACGACGTAACTTAAGTGTTAACGTCCAAAATTTGGACGGGGTTAATAGGTATATCTGTCACTTGTTTTAACGAGTAATATAGATCTTACTCTTTCTAACACTCTTTAAACTGTATATGAATGAGCGCGTTCTCTCTCTCACATGTACCATAAGGCTTCGCGAGGCACGCTGTCAAAAGCCTTCTCCAGGTCAACAAAACAACTGGCGACCTTGTTGACGCACTGAGAAGATCGCTTCGCATGTGCCTCGATCCGGTCGGAAGCCAAACTGGTTTTCGGGCAAGATCTTTTCAGATAAGTCCTTTAGACGGTTTAGGAGTACCCTAGCAAAGACCTTTCCGGGGGTCGATAGGAGCGAAATACCGCGGTAGGAGCTGCAGTCAGATCGGTCGCCCTTGTTCTTATAGAGAGCAGTTATGCGCGATACTTTAAAGCTTAAAACATTTCCCACACCAACGTGTGCAACTTCTCTCCACCGTACTTAATCAGCTCTTCTGGTATAAGGTCAGTGCCAGCCGCCCTTTTATTTTGTTGCTGTCTTTTTTACTTTTTTTATTGCTGAGGTGGGTGGACGAGCTCACAGCCCACCTGGTGTTAAGGGCTTACTGGAGCCCATAGACATCTACAACGTAAATGCGCCACCCACCTTGAGATACGAGTTCTAAGGTCTCAAGTATAGTTAAAACGGCTGCCCCACCCTTCAAACCGAAACGCATTACTGCTTCACGGCAGAAATAGGCAGGGTGGTGGTACCTACCAGCGCGGACTCACAAGAGGTCCTACCACCAGTAAAAATGTCTGATGGCAGTAACAACCTCGTCACGCAATAGAGGCTCGTCCAGCTCAAGGGCAAGAGGCAAAGAGTTGAGGCATTAAACCGATGCTTTGCAGATCTGCTGATCGATCCACATTCAGCAGAGTATTGAAGTGCTCTGCCCAGCGCTGTAGTACATCCTCCTTGTTTGTTAAGAGGTGCCTACTATCTAGAGACCTTAAAGGAACCTTTGCATGGTAGGATGTACCCATCAGCTTACGGACCTCGCTGTAGAACTCACCGAGCTGGTTTGTCTCAGTGAGCCATTGCATATGACTACCGTTTTTTTTTCTAAATATATATAAATTAGTTCAACCTAGAAATTGGCTAATGCAAAGAATTTAATCACTGGTATATCAAATCTAAAAACAACAAATACGAAATCATTAAAAAACATTAAAAAAACAAAATCCACCTACAAATATAGAATGACTAAATAAGTAAGCTGTTGCATCAAAGATTGTTTTTGACTTAAAATGTAAAGAATATGATATCCATGTTAGTAAATAAAATCAAATATTACTTACTATTCCATGATTTTTCGAGAAACCACCAAAACTTACAAAATTGTGCACAAACAGAGGACTAATACACTCCCTAAATAAAATACAACCAAGTTTTTTGTGAGAAATTACATGTGAGAGAGAGAACGCGCTCATTCATATACAGTTTAAAGACTGTTAGAAAGAGTAAGATCTATATTACTCGTTAATAAAACAAGTGACAGATATACCTATTATCCCCGTCCAAATTTTGGACGTTTAACACTTAAGCTACGTCGTTTCTCTTCAATTTCTACCAGGACTACATGAAAGAAAGGAGAGTTGTTATTACACTGTTTTCCAACTATTTGTTTTTTTCTCTTTACTTACCGTTTCGACACCTTTCTTGAATGCCTTCATCGCCAAATGACCAGGTATTTTATACCATTATTATACATAATAAGTTGGGGAAAAATCCTTTTCGCATTATAGTATGTATGAACTTGTAATAAAATCTCTTTGGCTATATTAATTGTATCTGGTTGGTTTCGGTGTCATTAAAAGTTTAAATTTTAAAGAAGATAATTCCAAATTCAAATTAGGAAAATGTGTCATTTTTAATTATTTTTCGTACTGTCAAGATGAGTAAATTTAATGAAGAAATTCGATACATTTAAAAAAAATTCTACAAAAAAGGTAAAAAAGCAACGCAAGCCGCGAAAAAAATTGGCGATGTTTATGGATCTAGTGCAGTGTCTGTGAGAGCAGCACAAATTTGGTTTAAGCGTTCTCAATCCGGAAATATTGATGTCAAAGATGCACGTCGCGTCGCTCTGGTCGCCCTATTATAGATAAAATGGATGCCATTTTTGAAAAAGTGGGGCAAGATCGGCATATTGGTAGTTACGACGTAGCTAAAGAACTGGAAATTGACCACAAAACAGTTTTGGCGAATTTGAAAAAAGCTGGGTACACAAAAAAGCTCGATATTGAAAGAAACCTAATGAACCGTGTACTCATTTGATTCTTTATTATGACGTAATGAAACCGAACTATTTTTGAAGAAGCTATAAAATGGTACCTACATACTTTAGTTAAATGTAAATAAACTATATTAAAAATGTTTTAAATTTTCTTAAAAAATGCGAAGAAACTTTTCCCCAACCTTATATATTATATACTAGCGGACCCGTCAGCCGTTGTCCTGTGAATGCACACACAAAAATTCATTCAAGTCGATCCAGCCGTTTAAGGTCAATTCCCACTGAAAGAGCAGCGGCGCGCAGCGGCCGTAAGAGCAAGTGACTGAGCGCGGCGCCGCGCCGCAAGGGGCAGTGTGGCGCCGCGCGGGGCAATGCGGCGCCGCGAGAGGCAGCGCGGCATCCCGAGGCGCCGCAATGAGCCTCCGCGTGGTAGCTTTGAAAACTAGTGTGTCATCTACTTCACTCAAGGAAAGTTGTGTGGCAATAAATATGGTGGATTTGGATTTATGTATCATAGCACTGGCTGTAGAAGAAGAACAAGATACCCTCTAATAAAATGACGCGAAATGCGCAAGCGGCAGGGCGCGACGCCACGCTACCCCTCCTTTGCCTTCAAATTACTATGAACTTTTTAATCACGTAGATAAGATTCAAAATAGTTTGTAATATTTTGCCTCAAAAAGACGCTGCCGGCCGCTGCTCTTTCAGTGGGAATTGACCCTTAGTTGTAGTATAGATAAGAAATCTATACCCACTGCAGCGCCATCTGCCGTGCTGATTTGTGAATCTAAACTATCCACGTCGCCACCCAAACGCATACAAAAAAAATTCATTCAAATCGGTCCAGCCCTTTAGGATTTCAGTGACATACCCACGTACAGTAGAATTATATAAAAATAAAGTGGTTACTGGAGCCCATGGACATAGCAACGCGGCTGCCGCCTTTGAGGCACGGAGTCGAAGTATGAACCGTTTTATATGACAGCTGTCCCATCGTGGTTTCATCCATCAAGTCCGAACATATCACTTGTCTTATACATGGCGATCTTACAATATGCCCTACTACCAATGAATACCCTTATATCAATCAAGACTGGAATTACTGCTTTTCCTACCTATGCCGATAGCCTTTAGAGCAGTCTTTCTCAAAGTGGGCGATAACGCCCCCTGGGGGGCGTTTGAAACCTAGAGGGGGGCGTTAAGGGGCCCACGAAAAAATGGGGGGCGTTGATATGGGTTAGGGGGGCGCTGTAAAATTTGTAATTTCATTTACTTTATAGTATTTTAAATTTTACTAAAATTAAAACTCACCTACTACACAATAACGAATAATTAGTTTATATTTCTACCCTGTATGATGTTATAAAAACTTAAAATAATTAACATAGATTTCGTAGGATAGCCCACACACCGTGCGCAATCAAGTTGTAACAAGTTTCTGCGGAACATGATCGATGATAGTTAAAAAATTAGAGCAATTTTACCTTAATTACATTGCACCAGAAATTATTTTAAAGATTAGAAAAAAACTACCATGCAGAGTTTTAAAATATTACACATACGTAAACTAACACAAATTGAGGTTTTCTTTACTTTCTTTCTTGTTTCTAACATNATGGAATGAGCTCCCCTCCACGGTGTTTCCCGAGCGCTATGACATGTCCTTCTTCAAACGAGGCTTGTGGGGAGTATTAAACGGTAGGCAGCGGCTTGGCTCTGCCCCTGGCATTGCTGAAGTCCATGGGCGACGGTAACCACTCACCATCAGGTGGGCCGTATGCTCGTCTGCCTACAAGGGCAATAAAAAAAAAAAAACGTGTTATCAGCCACCTTAAATAGATTTTGCCCTCTTGTACTTTTTAGATTAGTTATTCATGCTCACGATGGAGATCCAAGAGTTATCTACGTTAAAATATAATGCAACTAAAATAAAAATATTTCAATAACGCTTTGTATTTTTTCTCAAACTTGATACTTAACTCTTACGATAGATGTCGTCTAAAATTCCAGAAATTAGTGTATGCTGCGGTCAACAGATGGCACTATTAGCAATTTGCCCAAATAATTATAAATTTTACAGTAAGTAAGCAAATCACAAATATGCCAAAAACGCTTACATCATCGATTTACGTAGATTAAATAGGTGTTATCTACATCACACATTGATTTTCCTTGAAAGGTATTTACATAAATTTTAAATTTATTACTTTTTTTTTTATTTTCACACACCTGTGTAAAGAGCTAATATCATATCCGTGCATGTACACTTTCTGCCATAAGTCGTCGGCCGGTGCGAACCGTCGGAACAAAGGAAATATTGTTTCGAAGAACCTCGAGCAGTTCACGATGTGGATCCCGCGTTGATGGAGGGGGAAAGAATACTGAAAATTTTATTCGAGGATTAAGAATTTGTTCCCCCTAATTATTCACTGGTAGCCTAAGGGGCTATTCAATTTACGCGCGGACGGTTAGGTGATCTCACGGGCTCAACCTGTGTTAATTTGCAAACAATAGCCCTAGCGAGAGCAGTTCTTCGAGAATCTACCACCAAATCGGAATCGTAACCCACTAAGAAGATCTGGTGAGAAACTCGGAGGGTTAGTAAGTTCGCTCGTCGAAATATCGTCAGATCGACGACCAGTTTGCTTAGTGCGAGTTTTTAACGTTCACGATAGCGTAAAAGTTAACTCATATTTGCTTGGAGTTGGAATGTTTGCCTACGTTTGCCGCTAGGAGCGCTGTTCCCACTGCATACAAATTAGAGAACATTAAAAAACTCGCACTAAGCACACAGTGCTTGAGGAGCCTAAAACCGAGACTGGATCCGGGGGATCCGAAAAACATATTTCGGGCGAAGGCGGCTTTGCGTTTCCCTGTCGCGGTGGGATATGTTAGCGGCGGCCATGATAAGAGGGTTGCATTATGAGGTTACATATGCTATACATCACAATATTATTGTTCTGTTTCAATCGTTTCACTCCTGAAAGAGTGGTCGTTATCGTCAATCGCAAGAAAAAAATGGGGAAGAAAATGTTAGATGATTTTTTTAAGCCATTAGCTCTTTGAAAATCAACTAAGTATGTTAGCGCCATCTATTAGTAACTATAGAAAACTAACGCAGCAGCTCACTGCTGTTACAGTTGTGGTAACAGGAGGATAGCGGTGCCAATCCGCACGGTCTCACAATACACCACAACGTAGGTACTTACAACCATAATATTCATAATCTGCATGGCGACTGAAGGCGAGAACTGCCGCATGTGCTTCATAGTGAGCCCCTCGCAGTCCAGGAGTCCCGTGCCACCCACTATCTGTAGCTTAGGTTGCATGATGCCAATCTCCAAGAGCAGCAGACAGGCGCGGACCAGGTCTTCCACGGGTATCTCGTCTGGGTCCCAGAGACCTTCCAAATAGCAGCAATATAAGTCCAACATTAGGCAGTAATGCGTTTCGGCTTGAAGAGTGGGGCAGCCGTTGTAACTCTACTGAGACCTTATAAATTATATCGCAAGGTGGGTGGCGTATTTACGTTGTAAATATCTATGGGCTCCAGTAACCACTTAACACCAGGTGGCCTGTGAGCTGGTCCACCCATCTAAGCAATAAAAACAAAAAACAAAAAAAAAGGCTGGTAAACATAGCCCAGCCTATCTAGTGTTAAGTGCTTACCGGAACCCAAAAATAAATGGGTGATACGGCGCGTCAAACCCGCACGAGTATGTACCACTATGCTGACTATTTCTGCTGCGAAGCAGTGATGCGTTCCGGCTTGAAGGATATATGGCTATCGTTTCTCCAATGTAACTTCAGTCTTGTTTCTCAAGAACAATACTCTGAATTCACATTGCGGTTTCAATAGGCTCACATGACGTTTTTGCACAAAGTTTGTCACTAGGCCACCCGCCTATTTCGTAAAATAAATAAAGCCTAAAGTATTTAAAAACAATCGTTTCCTTCGATTATGAAATGCATTTGTCATCTTGTGTGGAAGGTTAGCGTGGAATGTGCAAAATTTGCGAAAATAATTATGTGCCAAAAAGACAATGTGTGTGTGTGTGTGTGTGTGTGTGTTTTTTTTTTATTGCTTAGTTTGGTGGATGAGCTCACAGCCCCCTGGTGTTAAATGGTTACTGGAGCCCATAGACATCTACGACGTAAATGCGCCACACACCTTGAGAAATAAGTTCTAAGGTCTCAAGTATAGTTACAAATAGTGTGTTAAAGGAGGCAGTAATGTGAGGAAGAGGCGTCCTAAGAAGACTTAGATTGACTGTGTCAAAGAGGATATGTGAAAGAAGAGAGACGATGTACGATAGGCCTGAATTAAAAAAGGACATACTGCGCCAATACCACATAGTGTGTCATTAAGGTCTTACCCATCCTACAGATGATGAGTCTGCCCACGTCAGGCCGGTCGTACAACACCCCTTCAAAGATGTGCCCGAGCTTCCTCAGACTGAACCAGTCCAAGTCACGCCATAAATGTGGATTCTGCTCCCGGAAATCACAGTACCGTGTTAACTGTAAAATTAAAATTTCCAAGAAAACATATATCGTCTTTTAGCATTAAAGGTGTACAATTTCCAAAAATATTCGAATTTCAGTTAATATGAGGAATCATAATTTGGTATCACCAGTATTTTTTTTATAAATACTGTCAAAAGAGCGTATAGTCCAGTTTTAGTTTTTTTTTGTTTCCATACATTTTGACTACTATAACAAAATTTATACATAATCTTATCTTACTTTAAAAGACAGATAATGTAACTGGTAAAAAATATATGTTGCAAAGATGATTAATATTAAAAATATCACATGTTAAACCTTTAAAACACTCTCCTGTAAAATTAGTAACATTTGAGATTACCTATACAGTTTTAATGCGAGAAGACGATATGTACATGTTCGTCATAAATCAACTTTTATTTGTTTTTAATGATACTAATAATTTTTTTTTATGACGTCTACGATTCGTGTACATTAAGCTAATACAAAAAAGGAAAACGTTTCATAAAGCTTCGACGTAAGCCAAGTGAAGTCGTCGTGGCCTAAAAGATAAGACGCTCAGTAACCAGATGCAATTATAACAGTGTTCGAATCCCGGAGGCAGTCACAATTTTTGTGATGTATAATCTGTATAACGCTTATAAACAATGACGTCATTATTGAAGGCAGCAAGTACACTTTATGCGCAGCATAAAAACGGAAATCAATGTTTTTAACTCCATTATTTCAGATATTTATATTATTGACTAGCGACCCGCCCTCGCTTCGCTTCGGAAACATTAAAACACACATGAAACCAAAAAAAAAAAAAAAAAGTAGCCTATGTTCATCAGGGACAATGTCGGCTTCTAATGGCAAAAGAATTTTTCAAATAGGTCCAGTAGTTTTGGAGCCTATTCGAAACAAACAAACAAACAAATCTTTCTTCTTTATAATATTAGTATAGATTTCATGAGGTAGTACATGATGGTACACCTTCATGTCTGAACACAAATTCTAGGTATCTATTTACATTACCCAAGCAATAATCTCCACGGATATTCTTTACTGGTGGTAGGATCTCTTGTGAGTCCGCACGGGTAGGTACCACCCTGCCTATTTCTGCCGTGAAGCAGTAATGCGCTTCGGTTTGAAGGGTGGGGCAGCTGTTGTAACTATACTTGAGACCTTAGAACTTATATCTCAAGGTGGGTGGCGCATTTACGTCGTCTATGGGCTCCAGTAACCACTTAACACCAGGTGGCCTTGAAGTGTGCATACTTATATATTATAGCATAGCATAGCATAGTATTAGCATAGCATTTAGTATATAACATAATTAATAGGTGTAATCTCGTATGCCCCCTAATAAGGCGGACCACCCAGAAACATAGGCTTCTTCATAATTGTAAACTAAAGTACAACATTACAGCCTGTGAGTTCGTTCACCCATTTAAGCAATGACAAAAAAAGAATCAAAGGTACGTGAACGCACTGAAGCTACAAACTATTGTAACCCGTACTATTTGATAGCATATATGTGTACTTCATTTCTAAATTCAAATAACAATATATAATACTACTGACCAATCGATGAGCTCGTGCTGGAATTGACTGCCTTGCTCTAAGGAATCGAAGCAGATATGCGTCGTCTGTTCGGTGGGGATGGGCCTCTCCCCTTTCTGTAAAATACAAAGGGAAATTCAGTAGGTCATTCACTAAACACTTTTGATGGACATTAGAATACACGAACTGTGTACCTTTTAGTTCTGTGCTACATCTTTGATGCACTCTGTAATTCTGTAATTTCAATAGTATTACAAGCCCGCGCAAGTTTCCAACATACACCCGATACTGCGGACGTAAAACACGTCATTTCGTATCCTTCCGATCCATTATCGGTGCTTTTAAGTACCTCAAGCATCGGCCACCGTTCTCGTCGAACCCGTTGCTCGCGACGAAGGGTTCGGCGAGCAAATTAACCCTCAGACTGAGCCCACTGAGTTTCTCGTCGGATCTTCAGGTCGCGTTTCCGATCCGGTGGTAGATTCTGTGAAGCACTGCTCTTGATAGGGCTAGTGTTAGCAGCGTCCTCAGGTTTGAGCCCTGTGAGGTTTTCTTTTCTTACTTTAACGCGACATTCGACCAATTGTATCATTCACAAAAGATAAAAATAGTTAATTCAATACTAAATTCGAAATACTTAATATACACACCAAAGTGTGATAAGACAGAATTCATAAAAGTGCGTTAAAATTTAAAATTAACAAAGTTAATAAATAATAATTGTGAGTGTGTGTGGGTTTGTTTGTTTATTGGTTAATTTTAAGTTTCCATATGTCACGGACTCGTGTGAGTACCAGGTAAACATAAAGTACAGAAGTTTGTTTTGTGTTCCGCGCAAACTTGTAAGCGACCTTCAGTTAGTTATATTTGCCTAGTATTTTGGAAGACGATGTTGTTCAAATTCAAGACGAAATTTAGGAGAAGCATTTTTTTGTCGTTTCTTCCTTCCATTATTTATTTACGAAATGTCGGAAAAATTTTACGGCAATAATAAACTGTAAAAGTAGTTTTATTTAGAGAAAACTGAAGTAAATATATTACTATCTATCTAAGTCTAAAGAAAAGCATAATATAATATGCCAATATGATTTCCTCTGTTTCTCCATAAATTTTTTCCATAAAATGTTAACAACAAAATAAAAGAGAAAATATAATACTTAGATGAATTTAAATCTTGGGTATCTATCGATTGATCAAATTGGTATTTAATTTATTTGTCACTAGTTCATATTTCCACCAAAGTATTGGGTTTCACCAACATGGTATTTGAAAATGTTCGTCGGCGTAGCATCGTGAGGTGCATAACACCTGCCCACAGCAATGATATTAAATGTCGACCACAACTGCTCTGACAATAGTGATACGACAAAGGAAAAAAGTCGGCAAATGCTTAACAAATTTTTTATTGCCTTTGTAGACAGTCGAACATACGGCCCACCTGATGATGAGTGGTTACCGTCGCTCATGGACCTCAGCAATACCAGGGGCAGAGCCAAACCAATTTTTACTTTTCATATTAAGCATCTCTCATATTGCATTCAGTGCTGCTACAATTGGTTTTTTTTTATTGCTTAGATGGGTGGACGAGCTCACAGCCCACCTGGTGTTAAGTGATTACTGGAGCCCATAGACATCTACAACGTAAATGCGCCACCCAACTTGAGATATAAGTTCTAAAATCTCAGTATACTTACAACGGCTGCTCTAACCTTCAGACCGAAACGCATTACTGCTTCACGGCAGAAATAGGCAGGGCGGTGGTACCTACCTGCGCGAACTCACAAGAGGTCCTACCATCAGTAATATTTTCACGCTATATCTTTAATCAAACTTGCAAACGTGATAAAAGCAAATTGTCTTACTAGTTAAGTTGTACAAACTTTAGGAAATAAAGGTTTATTTTTGTTTAGTTTTAACATAAGTATGTGATGGATTTTCAAGCAACAGGTAGCGTCCGTCTTATGCGGTTCGATTCGATACTATAGGTGGTTCATTGTATTGAATCATTAGGACAAAATATAGTACTGGGCAAAACAAGCACCGTTTGAGAATGTATTTAGCACGCGACATAAAACTTTGTCCGGTCTTTCAATTGACGAAGGATTATATGCGCAATACTTGAAAAAAATATACAGGTCATCTATATTCCTAAATTGTATACCTTTAATCATATTCCTTAGCTCATCGATTCTCCTCTCTCTGGTGTCGGGGTCCTCTCCGCACAGCAAGAATGCATCTTCCTCGGAGTCTGAAGCGTCATCTCGGTTCAGCTCGGCTTGAAACGCGATCTCAGCGAAGGACCATATCTTTAAATCGCTCTGTGAATTAAAATGTTATTCGGTAATTATTATTTTATAATCGACAGAAACGTTTGCGAGTAATTAAAAAGTAAATGATCAATTAAAAAACCTACACCGCAACACACGGCGCTTACTTGTTTATCTAAGAGAAGCGCCCCGCTCCGGCTCCGCTCGGGTCTTTAACAAAAATTTCAACGATATTTGAGGTTTTTTTTTTTTTAATAAAGAACACTTATTGCGGCATAACTATAATAGTTAGACATATGCTGTCCTGACACTTTTTGTAAATAATAATGTGTTCTACAAAGTCGTAGTACGTTATTTTATTCTATCATCAATTGTTTTCGCAGGGCACGCGATGTAAAGAATATTTTAGGTAATTTTTTTACACCTTGGGTTACATTATTGGAGCTTTAGTAAGGATCGCTAATTTTTTTCAAAAAAGATTCTAGCCTATGTCACTCGGGAATAGTGTAGCTTCCAAACAGTGAAAGAATTTTTAAAATCGGTTCAGTAGTTTCGGAGCCTATTCAATACAAACAAACAAACAAGTTTTTCCTCTTTATAATATTAGTATAGAAGTATAGATAAACATAAATTCAATCACATTTAAATTCTATTTTCGTTATCATCATAGTTTCCACCTAGAACGCTCCTTAGCGTCTGCTCACCTTGAAATATATCGTCGGCTTATTGCAAGAACTCATTAACTGCAAAAAATCACTAAATGCGTTTTTATCTATAATGGGCTCATTTTTGCATATTCTACAAAATGCAAAAACACGCTAATTTCTAGCTGGCCAATTTTAGCCGTTACGTCTTTGGTAGAAAATTGATAATTGCAACTTTGGAAGTCAGGCATTTACAAAGATTCACNATGGAGGTCGATAATATGCATAGTTCTATCGAGAATCAAATGCGTCTTATGCCAATTTTTTCTATGATAGACCTCTGTAATGTTTTAAGATTGACTAGATCGAACAGAAAGCTAAACAAGAAAAAAACAGCAAAGAAGCCGTATGAACCTATGAGCCACTCTGATATCTTGAACCTAAAAGAGTTGAGAAACAAATTAATGTATAATAAATCAAACCGGCCTAACATTGTTCAATATAGGTATGACTACGTTTCCAATTTTAAGGACCTAGCCTGCAGAGCTACAGCATTGGTATAATAATATACCTGATAAAGAAGGTCCAAATTATCTTAATGAAGAAGAAACCTCTGATACCGTTTTTTTAACCTAGCTCTTTTTTATTTGTTTTATGTTTTTGTATGGTGTTTAAGCTCAGTTCCTAATTTTCATTAAAAAATACATGATTGAATGAATACATGAGTGATTGACTAACAGGGAGAAGAAAATAAATTTTAGTTTATTATTGAAGTCATCCTGGCCTAAAAGATAAGACGTCCGATGCATTCGTATCTAGCGATGCATCGGTGTTCGAATCCCGCAGGCGGGTACCAATTTTTCTGATGAAATACGTACTTAACAAAATATGTTTACGATCTACTTCCATGGTGAAGGAATAATATCGTGTAATAAAAATCAAACTCGCATAATTATAATTTGCGTAATTACTGGTGGTAACACCTCTAGTGAGTCCGTACGGGTGGGTACCACAACCCCGCCTATTTCGGCCGAGAAGCAGTAATACGTTTCGGCTTCAAGGGTGGGGCAGCCGTTGTGATCATACTGATACCTTAGAACTTATATCTCAAGGTGGGTGGCGCATTTACGTTGTAGATGTCTATGGGCTCCAGTGACCACTTAACACCAGGTGGGCTGTGAACTCGTACACCCATCTGAGCAATAAAATAAAAATAATATTATGTAAAACTTTTGAGACTGCGAAGTTGTCGAGAGTACTTGGCAATATTAGCTATTGCAAGTTCTTACGTCAACTGTTATGAAAAAAATGTTTTTGATTATTATGTTATTATTCGTTTTTGTTTATTTCTATAAGGTTTGATAAGTATTTTGTTGTTTTATTTTAATTTAAGAAATAATTAATTCACATATAAAACCGACTTACAGTAGCAAGAAGTCATTAACTTTTAGTTTTAGTTTATAAATAATATATAATGTTATATAACTACCGACTCTCGCTTGTTTTAATTAATATACATATTAAGCAATCCAAAACATTCAATTTTTCTCACAGTAATTATGTATGAAGGATAATATGGGCTAATCAACATAACCACTAACTAATTCCAACTAAAATGCCGTTTTCCCAAAATAATGAATATGTCACATAATGACTTCTTGCAATAAGCCGACGATATACTTCCTTATTTTTTGTAAACAAAACAGATGATGTCAGAAGAATGACGTTAAAGTGTTCTTTTTTGTCTAATCAATTATCGGTAGCTTAAGGGACTATTCCAATTACGCCCGGTTTGGTAAGTGAGCTCACGGGGATCTACTTAGGAAGAGTTGCTAAGACTGGCTTTAGCTTTCCGCAAAATAATAAAAGGCTTCGTGTAATAAAAGTGAAACCCGCAAAATGATAATTTGCGTAATTACTGGTGGTAGGACCTGTTGTGAGTCCGCGCGGGTAGGTACCACCGCCCTGTCTACTTCTGCCGTGAAACAGTAATGCGTTTCGGTTTGAAGGGTGGGGCAGCCGTTGTAACTATACTGAGACCTTACAACTTATATCTCAAGGTGGGTGGCGCATTTACGTTGTAGATGTCTATGGGCTCCAGTAATCACTTAACATCAGGTGGGCTGTGAGCTCGTCCACCCATTTAAGCAATAAAAAAAAAAAAGCAGCGCTTTGTTGAATCTACCACCAGGTCGAAATCGCGACCCACTGCGAATATCCGCTGAGAAACTCAGTGGATTGCGTCTATGGGAGAGTGTATTCACAAGTGGAGCGCTATTGACTCGCTAGCCGTAAGTTCACGTAACCGCGTTCCACTAATTACCGTAATCACAGCGACGTTTTCCTCAGAGTTTGAATGGAAGGAATTGAGATGTTTAAATGTGGCTGCGTGGTTATATCAATCAAGGCTGAATTTGGGCCGTTGAGGATTAGTCAAGGACATAGACATTGCATTATGGTTAATGTCGGGTTTGATTATTAAACTCGTTCCTTATAAAAGAAACATTATTTTAATGAACGGGGAATCGTCTATGAACCAATTTTTTTTTCCTACCTATTCTAGTAACCTTGAGGGGTTATACTAGATCCACCGAACTAGTAGGTGAGCTTACGGGGCTCTAACCTGACGACGTTGCTAACACTAACCCTAGCAAGAGCAGCCTACTACCGGTTTGGAATTGCGACCCGCTGAGAAGATCCGGCGAAAAACTCAACGGGCTGATGCATGGGCTACTAGAGTCATTCGCGAAGCAGCTGCTCTTGAGTTGTTAGGTGTCCTTCGGAGGCGTTCGGGCAGCTGTTAGCAAATCCCACCCCTCCTGGCTGAGCCTTTGCTCGCCCACCTGTCCTGGTGAAACTGAAAAGGCGTCCGAGCCACCAGTACATCTTCAATCATAAAAAAAAAAACCATTTGAAGGTCTCCGCCGATGTCCGAGTCAGGAAAGTGTGAAACGACCAAGGCCATAACATTTACTGTGCAACGTTTCACTATTTCCCGTTCTAATATCTATATTACGTAAATAATAAAAGTAAGCGTACAGAGACAATGTTTGTCCTTCACGCAATGTTCAAATTATATTTTATGGTTCTATTAAGACAAAGTGCCTATGTAGACTGCGTGTCGCTTATGATTCATTCGAGAGCTTAGTTTATTACGTACAATTTTCTTTTCATACCTAAGCTGATAGCCTTGAGAGGCTATACGCACACTAGTTAACGGTGGGCAGCGGCTTGGCTCTGCCCCTGACATTGCTGACGTCCATGAGCGATGGTAACCACTCACCATCGGGTGAGTCGTATGTNAAGACAAAGTGCCTATGTAGACTGCGTGTCGCTTATGATTCATTCGAGAGCTTAGTTTATTACGTACAATTTTCTTTTCATACCTAAGCTGATAGCCTTGAGAGGCTATACGCACACTAGTTAACGGTGGGCAGCGGCTTGGCTCTGCCCCTGACATTGCTGACGTCCATGAGCGATGGTAACCACTCACCATCGGGTGAGTCGTATGTTCGTATGCTTATACGGCAATAAAAAAAAAAAATTCTCCGACCGCTCGGTTGCGCCTTGTTGTCGATCAGCACGAGAAAGAAACTTCGGGATTTTTCTTAAGACCCTAAAACCTTGTGACATTGTGTTAAAGTCCACTTTACTGTGTAACGGCAGTCCCACTGCTAAAAACCCACTCATGACAGCGTTGTGGTAGAAATAAGCAGGATACTGGTAAGTATCCGTGCTGGATCATATTAAACTTTACCAGCATAGTTTCAGAATAATGTAATTTACGAAACAAACTACATAACGAGCCGAAGTCCCTCCGTTGTTTTTTTTACCTTATTCCCCATTTTTCCATTCCCAGGTCAGATTGCAACTTACTGAGAAGATCCGGACAGAAACTCAGTGGGTTATGTCTATGGGCTAGTTCGCACGAGGGCCCCGGAAGTTCCAAACGATACGTCAGAACAGGATTACCGATAATAAATTTATATCATTTTCATTATTTATATTATAGGTACTAATAGGAAGTAAATTAGTAATCAAGTCGCATACTCGAAGTCACCTCGTATATTCGAGTAGCACCATGTAAATATTTACTAGTTCACATCTTGTCAAGTCGTTTATTGTGTCAAGACTCGTTTGGTAAAGTTTTAGAAAGCTCTACGAAGCGGGGTCGCGGCAGAAGCTAATAAAGCTCGTAAACTCTCAAATAGACAACTTTACATTTCAAAATTCCACTATATCTGTGACTTATGATAATGTGTGAAAAGTTTCTATTTGATTTTGTTTTCTCTGTGTTTCTATCAATACCCTATATTTTATTAGCTTTGTTACGATTGTCTAATTTTTTATCGACTTCAAAAATAGGAAGAAGTTCTTAAATTCGACTTGATTTTTTTTTTGAAACCCGGTGCATCTCTTGTATCTGACCAGTAGTTTTGGAGTTAACCTTTATAATTAATTAGCGGCCCGCTCCGCTCGGGTTTTTAACAAAAATGTCAACGATGTTTGACGTTGTTTTATTTTTTAAAATAAAAGAACACTTATTGCGGTATAACTATAATAGTTAGACACATGCTGTCGTAACACTTTTTGTAAATAATAATGTGTTCTACAAAGTCGTAGTACATTATTTTATTCTATCATCAATAGTTTTCGCAGGGCACGCGATATAAAGAATACTTTAGGTAATTTTTTTACACCTTGGGTTACGTTATTGGAGTTTTACTAAGGGTCCCTAATTTTTTTCAAAAAAGATTATAGCCTATGTCACTCGGGAATAGTGAAGCTTTCAAACAGTGAAAAAAATTAATTAATTAAATAATTATTAAGTAATCTCTATATATAAAAATGAATTGCTGTTCGTTAGTCTCGCTAAAACTCGAGAACGGCTGGACCGAGTTGGCTAATTTTGGTCTTGAATTATTCGTGGAAGTCCAGGGAAGGTTTCAAAGGTGAGAAAATATAAAAAATAGCTCGGAATTATATAAAAACAAACCATTTTGTTTTTCCGTTGATGTGTCCCCTTTGATGTGTCTTTTATTTATCGATTGAGGCACTACGAAGTCTGCCGGGTCTGCTAGTAAGTAATAAGTGAGTCGACTATTATCAAAAGCGGCAATCTGACTTTTGGACAATGATTGGTAAATCAGAAAAACGAATTATTGACTTTGTATTTCATTGGCAGTCACAAAACTCTTCGGAACGACATCTTAGATAAATAACAGGTTAACTATTAACCTTTATTTAATGCAGGTTTTGAACCGTATTCTTTGAAGGAGACGATTATATTCAAATAAATCTGTATTGACATNTGAAGGAGACGATTATATTCAAATAAATCTGTATTGACATATCAATAAATTTTTTTTGTTCAAATGCACAGATTGCCACCTTTGATAATAGACGACTCAAGTATAAGTACAGATTCGCTTCGACTACATTAATGATATTCTTTTGTGTTAAAATTTCCGTATTTAATTGGCCAATATCGATGAAGTAAGGATTCGTCTACTGCATTAATCGCACAATATTCAAATGAATTTCGATGCAGCTGCAATTTCAAAACTGTGTTATAACCACGAGTCGAGGACAAGCTTGCGTTTTGACTAACGAAATACATGTCGAAAAGTAAACAGCGATTTGTAATTACCGAACTTGGGCGCGGATGAAGACACTTCAAGTATTATCGAGCACCGAGAGGTCTGGTGGTTGCGACGCCGACGATAGTGCGTGCGGGGTCCCGCGGGGGGCAGGCCGCGACTAGACATGTGCCTCGGACAGGGGCGGATTTAGGATTTACACTAGGGGCAGTCGGGGCAAGTGCCCAAGGCGATAAAATTTATAAAGTGATTTTTTTTAATTATTATCATGATTGCTCAATCGAATTAATTAATTCTATCAATTAGTAATTTTCTGTTTAAATGTTAATTCAAGAAATTCAATTCATCCATTATTTGTGAATTCTAATTTCGGCATTTTCGGTAAAAATTAATAATCAAAATTATTTAATCAATTTATTAGCTTGGAGGTTGAAAATAATAATCGATTTTTCTATTTTCTGGAATTAAAGAAATTTATAACGCGCACATCCCTATTTGCTCTCCTCGTGATTGTTTGGGGGGCAGGCACGCGGGGAAGTGGCAGAGACACCGCCGGCCGACCACGAATCAAGAAAGGAATCAGCCCTACAGTCGATATAGCACCATCGAACTATACCTTACCATATTTCTGCCGTGAAGCAGTAATGCGTTTCGGTTTGAAGGGCGGGGCAGCCGTTCTAACTATACTGAGACCTTAGAACTTATGTCTCAAGGTGGGTGGCGCATTTACATTGTAGATGTCTATGGGCTCCAGTAACCACTTAACACCAGGACGGCTGTGAGCTCGTCCAACCATCTAAGCAATAAAATAAAAATAAAATAATTATTAATTATGGATAGCAGTAGCCTATTTAAGTAATATTCTGGCAAATATTCAAATGAGTTTGACGACAGTCTAATTTGGCTTCACGAATCCCACTTTCCAATCATTAGCGCCTGGTCTTTATCGGAATGATCCTCAAGTGGCACTAAGTTGTCTTTAGGAATCAAGAACAGAACAACATGATAAATTTAGAAATAGACTGAGGCAAATAAAAATAAAATTAGAAGATTAAAAAAAAGATCTGTGAATTTCTCTTGGTGAATTCGAAAGTGGTACAATTCACGAGTGGTCACAGTTTGCTGTAGGCTATAGTTGCCGATGGCGATCGGATGACAAGCAATTCGCTTGATCAACAGATTAATGAAGGTCAAACGAAATAAGTGGTGTAGAGTCGAAAAACTATGCTTCAATATTTAAAATAAATAAAAAATTTGTAAATTTGTATTTGTCTACGGTAGGTAACGGCTTGGCTCTGCCTCTGACTTTGCTGAAGTCCATGGGCGACGGTAAGCACTCACCATCAGGTGGGTCGTGTCTCTATAAAGGCAAAAAAAACGTATTCTTTGTCTAAAATACCTTAATTTTCTAAAAAGGATTTTTCTTAAATGTCATTCAGTGAAGTCTGTCATGCAGTAAAAAGAAAGTTTAGTTTGTTTAAAATATTAATCTTATTATATCTACCTATATATGGTCTTTAAATGTTTTATTTATTTTTATAATTTTTATATTTTTTATTTATTTTACTTATTTTACTTTAGTTTACCTACTTAATTGCACAGAATAAATACGATCAATTTTGCACCACAACCGACGCAGAATTGCTTCTTAATACGCGCATTTGCAAAGATATTTTACCCCAATTAACTCTCCTCTTCAATACTTGGCATTGATCATTTCCCGTTTATGAATGACGGTATCCACTCATTGCCGAATAGGGTGCTTGTTCGTTTCCTTAAATAGGTAATGAAATGTATTTAAGTTATTTACATTAAGGGTTATAGAATACTAAAACAGCGAAAGACAGCGTTTTGATTATCCCATCGTAACATCAATGTCTACATGCGGCTTAAAGGAATTCCGAGGAATGTTTACGCCAAATACTAAAAAGCGCTTAAACAGATAATAATTTAGTTTTGCGTATAGCATGTTAAAAATAATTAACACTGTCGTAAATGACCCAATTTCATCGGATACCATAAAACAATAGTTTTTCAAACGACTCACTTTCATTGTAGATGCAACGCTGCTTTTGATTATGCACTTCTGGTAGTGAAAGCGAACAAAACCACTATATATTCCTCACGAAATACAACACATAATAAAACAATTTTTCAGTTGGACACAAAATTAATACACAGTGTAAACAAATACACGTAATATTATCATACGATAAATAAAAAATTAAACATGGCTGTACGTACGCTACCGCGTCGCCATAAGAAATGGGAATGGAATAGACACGAAAATTCGTTCACAGCTTAGTTCACAAAGTTTAAATAAGGCTCCCCGCATACATCGTTGACCTTAAAATATTTACCTATAGACTCTCGTCTATTGGACTTTATTCAACCTGTTCCCAACTGTTATTTTTGAATGCTGCTACTGCTGCTGCATTTCGTTTGAGGAACTAGATAAATTCGGAATGTATTCATGTACATCGCCCCTAACGGTTAGGGTTCATCGACACTTGAATTTTTAGTGAGGTCTGAGATGCGAGCTGTAGCGATTCTTCGCCTATTTTTATTCCTAGCATTTTAAAATCATAAGTAAACCGGTAATGTGGTCATAAGTAGTATCCTCATCACCATTATCAATTCCGAATTCGTACACTTACGAATTATGTATCATTAAATAAATATATACAAAAAATTTCATAATATCAATACAAAAGCGAGTTTGTTTGTTTGTTACACTTTCACGACTCAACTATGCAATCGATCATGGTAAGATTTTACATACCCCTTGCCAGGGAGAAAAAGACATAGGGTACCAGAAATCCAAAAAATATTTGGTTCCTAAATTCTACTAACTAGTATTAAGATAAAACGAATTAAATGAATTGAAAAAAAAACATGATCTTTATTATATTATTATAAAAATAAAATACTAATTATTTTTATTATTCATATTTCAATTAAAGATTACGTTGATACCAACCCTGGGCACGGTTTCTTAGCCATAACATGCTCGCTCTCAGGCAAAGAAATAATCTCCTTTGTCTAGCAAGAAACGCTAAAGATGTTCAATCTTACGTAATTGTTGCTACATTTAAAACTACTGACAAAACCAGGTCACACACAGACTTGAGCTATTTAAAATAAAAATAAAAACGACATTTATTTATCATCTGCAGAATTCACGCGGTACTTTCACTGCAAAATGTAAATGAGAATATACATATATACGACAAAGGGAAGATTTTCCACCGAGCGGGTGATATTGCTCGGTAGACCGACGCGACGGCCCGAATATTTTTGTTCGGAACATATATGTGCACAAGCTTATCTTGAAAATGTCGTAAGCGCGATTCAGGCATCTGTCAAATATCTTGTGTTTGTATGATAGTTACCCGCTACAGAGAAAACAAAATTGACGATCAAATCGTTGTATTTCATAAATTAGGGCACAAAAAAAGTTGAACTTTCAAGTCGCCAATACTTTAATCACGTTTAAATCAAATCGTATTTCTGTGTTTTTTTTTTATTGCTTAGATGGGAGGACGAGCTCACAGCCCACCTGGTGTTAAGTGGTTACTGAAGCTCATAGACATCTACAACGTAAATGCGCCACCCACCTCGAGATAACAGTTCTATAAGGTCTCAGTATAGTTACAACGACTGCCCGCTTTTCAAACCGAAACGCATTACTGCTTCACGGCAGAAACAGGCAGGGTGGTGGTACCTACCCGCGCGGACTCACAAGAGGTCCTGCCACCAGTAATAAGCTAGATTAGTAGTAGTCGTTCATAAGGCTAGATGATTGGACGAGGTCACGGCCGATCCGATGTTAAGTGGTTATAGTTATTCATGTCTCGTATGGGCTCCCGTCGCCGTCACGCAGGAGAAAACCTCCGCTGCATAATGTTCGTATAGTTATTAAAAAAATAGCTTCTCAAGTAACGTAACAAGAAACGCTCGCCACAGGAGTAAAGTTCAGCCGTATTACCTGAAGCCAACAACCCAGACAACCTTGAAAAATTTACTGTGGTGGGCAAGGTAGAAGGGAAAAGACCCGCCGGCCGGCCACCAAACCGTTGGTCAGATCAGATAACTGCGCTCACTGGACTCTCTGTTGCGAACGCCCTGAGAGAAGCCGAAAACCGAAGGAAATGGAAGCTGATGGTACAAAGAGCCACGAAGGGCTTTTAGGGACACGACCTTCAGCAATGAAGTATGCGACTAAGAAGAAGAGCTGAAGCCACTGCGTTCTTCCACAGTGCGTTTCCAGAGATATTTTCTGCCACGTGCCATCCGGATTTGGAACGAGCTTCCCCTCCACGGTATTTCCCGAATGATATGTCTAGGCAGCGGCTTGGCTCTGCCCTGACATTGTTGAAGTCCATGGACGACGGTAACCACTCACCATCAGGTGGACTGTATGCTTGTCTGCTTACAAGGGCAATAAAAAGATGTGTGGTCTCGTGGGACACCAAATAGGAACGAAGTTCCTTATTATAAAAATATTAATTTTAAGTTCTATTAGAGGTATAAAGAAAATAATTATTCGGGTATACATTTTTTATTATGATTTTTTTATTGATAAAAACAAACAAAAAAACTACTTTACAAAGTTATTAACTTTATTTTATTCACAATGATTTATAAAAAATATATAATAATAATATGCAAAGAAACAGCTATTTATATGAATAATAATAATAATCGTCATCACGTAGACTATACATTAGACTCTGTATAGCCATCATACTAAGACTATACATAAATAATAAAAATCTTACGTTACGGACGTTTTTTCCCGGTTAGGGTACCCCTCCGAATCGTCCCATAAGGAACTTCTTTCCAAAAATAACGTAGCTAACGTACGACACGACTAGTTAACTCTCGCTGTGTTCATACCTAGTTTCAAACATTAACGAAATACACAAAACGCGTTTCTAACAAGTTTCACTGGTGGTAGGACCTCTTGGGAGTCCGCGCGGGTAGGTATCACCACCCCGCCTATTTCCGCCGTGAAGCAGTAATGCGTTTCGGTTCGAAGGGTGGGGTAGCCGTTGTAAGTATACTGAGACCTTAGAACTTATATCTCGAGGTGGGTGGCGAATTTACGTTTTTTTTTTTTTTTTTTACCACAGGAGAAAATCAGTAGATGTCTATGGGCCCCAGTAACCACTTAACATGAGGGGGCCTGTGAGCTCGTCCATCCATCTAAGCAATAAATAAAAAAAGAACTATTATACTTTCACTGTACTTTTAACATGGCCATTCGCGTTTAAAACCGTATCATGCAGGCATCCATCACCATCACGAACATTGTTTCCCTTCACAATGGCGGGAGGTGGAAATTTAATTAAAAGTCGTTGCTTCACAAGCAAAGAAATATTATGCTGACTTATGCTAAGTTGAACTTGATTTTTTACCTATCGATTGGTGAAAAGTTATTTGGTTTAACCGACAGCTCCTCTTAATACGCGACATTTATCTTTGTAATCAAAGGTGCTTTTTATTTGGTATTAACTTTTGCCCGCGACTTCGTCGGCGTGGAATGGTTAGTTTGACATAACGCTAACTTGTACCCGCCTCTTCATTTACGTAGAATATCATCTTTATAATGCTTTATTTTAGAACAAATTTGGTTAGCATAAAAAAACGTTACAGAGAGCCAACCTTAACATATAGACATATGCTGTCGCGGACTTTTTTGAGATCTTTTAAAGGGGAACAATTCTCTCATACAATATTTTAGCGAAACTTTAACGGTTTCGGCAGCGCACGCAGTGGAAGCTCTCAAAAGGGAAAAAAACCCTGATTTTGAAACATTCTTTATTGGTGCTCCGCTTGCATTGGTCTTAGAGTGATGTTATATAGCCTCGATAAATGGGCTGAAAGAATTCTTCAAATCGGACGAGTAGTTCCTGAGATTAGCGTGTTCAAACAAACAAACTCTTCAGCTTTATAATATTAGTATAGATTAGCAACAACAGTTCGATGTTTTTAATGGAACTTCAATTAAATTTTCTCCATTCAAACAGCTGAAGAAGGGTTTTTTGTTCTACATTTTAAACTTTAAATGGCTCTGTGTAAAGTTGCAAAAATGTCGCTTAAACCAAATAGGCTTTCATTGTCTAAATCTTGTTTTTTTTGGGATTGGTTTTGGGAGTGTTGGTTTTGCGTAGACTTTTCCAGCTTCGAGGTGGACGAGCACGGACTCAGCCGGCAGTAGTGGGATTTGGTAGCAGCTGCACCACTGAGGGAGATCAGCTCAAAGGCAGCTGGTTCGTTAATCAATCTACTACTGGATCAGGTATTTAGATGAGCATATCACAGACGTACAGTAAGTAACAATTAATGTCGAAGTCGAAGTCGTCGTGGCCTAAGGGATATAAGACGTCGCATTCATGTTGAGCGATGCACCGGTGTTCGAATCCCGCAGGCGGGTACCAATATTTCTAATGAAATACGTACTCAACAAATGTTCACGATTGACTTCCACGATGAAGGAATAACATCGAGTAATAAAAAATGAAACCCGCAAAACTATAATTTAAGTAATTACTGGTGGTAGGACCTCTTGTGAGTCCGCGCGGGTAGGTATCACCGCCCTGCCTGTTTCTGCCGTGAAGCAGTAATACGTTTCGGTTTGAAGGATGGGGCAGCTGTTGTAACTATACTGAGATCTTAGAACTTATATCTCAAGGTGGGTGCTTGAATTTGGGCGCATTTACGTTGTAGATGTCTATGGGCTCCAGTAACCACTTAACACCAGGTGGGCTGTGAGCTCGTCTACCCAACGAAGCAATAAAAAAAAATCAGTCTATAAACTACATACTTGTTCTACGTAGTTTATTCTTTTTTTTTTTTTTATTGCCTTTGTAGGCAGACGGGCATACGGCCCACCTGATGGTGAGTGGTTACCGTCGCCCATGGACTTCAGTAATGCCAGGGGCAGAGCCAAGCCGCTGCCTACCGCTTAATACTCTCCACAAGCCTCGTTTGAAGAAGGACATGTCATAGCGCTCGGGAAACACCGTGGAGGGGAGCTCATTCCATAGCCGGATGGTACGTGGCAAAAAAGATCTCTGGAAACGCACTGTGGATGACCGCAGTGGCTCCAGGTAGTATGGATGAACTCTACTCCGGTGGCGGGCGGTGCGATGG